CTATGCTAACATGGCAGTGGCACTCATAGGTCACTATGCAGCTAGCGAGACTTTTGCCACTCAGACTTATCTGCCAGAAGACCTTTGGTTCTTTGATTCGGTGCTATTTTGAAATGTTTTCATGGCAGGCCACAAGATACAGAGGCACGGCGACTATCTGACAGCCCTGTACGCCTTCTATACAGGGCATTGGCTATACATTCCTGCGCTCATCTGGAGTGTTATGATGAAGTTATATGCTGATTACATCAACAAGTCCAAGCCCAAACGGGCTAAGTTTCTCCCATTGGCCATCTCATTACACAGATATTACGGGACCAACGCTATCCCTTCCAGCCATAGGAGCGTCCTAAGTCTGGGGCCTGCTCGTTCAAAAAGAAGGACCGGGATAAGAGCTACAAGGCTCTTATCAAGAGTCTACAGGAGGATGTTGTAGAGGCAGCTGAGGAGCTTGAGAGAGAGGAATTAGAGTATGAGGCAGCAGTAGCAGCAACAGAGCAGGCGGCGGACGATGTACCAGTCGATCCGGCTGCCATACATATGGATATTGATTTAGAGCAGCCCATAAAGGGCCCAGTGCATCACTCTCTGGTTGGGTTACCCATTCATGATGAGGAGCAGGCTCAGGATCATCATTCTCCCGATCTAGCAGCACCTGAGGCTCCAGTTCAGATACCCAGCTTCGGAGAGCGTCTACAGACTCTGGAGGATGGCATGGTTTTCCATCCGAGCTGATATTGCTTCACTCTGTTCAGATGTCATAGCCGCATTGCGAGATTTATCCCGAGACATCCGCCGATCACGCCCTGCCCGTCCTTCCTGCTCCACTTGATATTTCCATATCTTCTTCTCCTATTATATATCTGTGATATCTGCTATATTTTTGCTACTGTTATATACTTGCGACCAGTTTATTGGCCTAGACACTGGATGTACTGTACTATACTTTATTTATCTTTTATGCATACTTTGTTTTTGGATGTCTGGATTTTATATTGATATATCTGTCTGTGATTGACTCCATTTATCTGGTGCATTCCAGTGACTTCAGTGAGAGAGAGTACTGACCGAATTTTTCAGGACCACCCTTTTTCTTCTCTCCTTACTTCAATTTCTTATCCCATTTACACTTGCATGTCCACTGTGTATTGTTGTTATCCTTTTTGTTGTCTAATGAACTTTTATCCAGTGCCATCTTTTCAGGACCACAGTTAATCCTAAGTTTGGGGGGGAGGGGCTTATACCACCCACTTTGGATACTTATGCCCCGGCCATTCTCTGCATAGCTACACTGGTATACTCTTTCCTTTGTTCTCTTTACACATTGAGGACATTGTGCTATTTAAGTTTGGAGGGTAATGGTGTTAATTGCAGTATTTGCTTTCAATTCAAAATTTTGAGCACGACTTGTGTATTTGAGGAATTTTCTATGATTGGTCCATGACTAGCTATGATTTTGATCTTTTGAGAACTATATTGCTTAAAATTTAAGATCTGCTTAACTTGAGAGTCCAATACTCCTTGTATACCTTGTGGATGCCATTTAGAAGTAAATTTTTCAAAAGATTGATATCTCGCTTGCACTTGTGGTCCACATCATCCTGATTTTGTGATTATTTTGAGATTCACTCTAGGATTCTACACTAGCATAGGCGCACACTAGCATTCATTTGTGGGATACATGCTTTGTTGATTATTGAAGTGGTTATATCCCAATTGGGCTAGTAGTGCATTGAAAGCTTTCATTTTGACAAAAGTGGACAACAATCCATTTTCATTGAGTAGCCGGGATTCTAGTCTCATCAAGTACTAAATTTCTCGCACCGAAAGGTGGAGGGCCCAAACTCTAGGTTTTATTTATTGAATTGAAAAAGAAAAAAAAAAAAAAAAAAGAAGTTGCAAAAAGTAATAAAAAGTGAGGACTTCTCCTAAAAAGGTGAGAAGTGGGAAATGATTAGATGGAGGTTGTTTTGATTTGTAGCCTAGTTGATTTGAGCTTATAAGTCCGTAGGGGTGTTTGAACACCTAGTGCCCTAAAGCCGTCCGATTTGAGATTCATTGACCTAACGCTCAACTTCATGGATCACTAGAAAGCTTAATAGATCAACACATTGCACCATGCTTCCATCTTTGATCCTTAGGGATAGAAAAAAAAATCGAGTGAAAAGAATAAGTGCACATAGATGAATAAAGCTTTAATAAAAGGTCCATTCTTTGTTTTGATGATTGGGACTAGATTTGTATGTTAGTTTGAGGGTAAGGATATGGTCATTCCTTTAGTTGGCTTAGATAGCAACATACTTGATGCCGGTCCACTCAAAAGGATTCTAGAGTTACTTTGATTTGCATGATCATTTTATTTATGCGTGGAAGACCATACTTGCTTGCTTGATGTTGAAATTTTGGGAGATTCCTTGGAAATGTTTGAAAAATTGCATACTTGAGGTAGTTTTCTCCCAATGTTTGTTTGCAATATTGGTGCCTCTTTTATAATAATGAGCTTAATGTTTGTGGGTATCATTTCTGGAAACCCTCACGAGACTTCACTCGTCCATTAGGGGTAACCTAGGGGTTTAAAAGGCTTATGGCATGTACTAAATGCAATTGTGTTCCCTACAAAAGTGGCGTTATCCTTTTATTGCTTTCTAGTTCATAGTTGTATAGTTGTTCATTTCATTCATTTACTTTGTAGTTCATTGCTAGGGATTAGCAATATTTAAGTTTGAGGGTGTGATGAGCGCTGAAAAGTGCGCATTTAAACTCCTTAAGCTTAGGTATTCTAGGACCTTTATCTATCTTACTTTCTTATTTTAGACTAATTTCGTGTTATTGCCCTTTTCAGGTACTTATCCCCAAAATAAGCTAAATCAGCTAAATAAAAGCATAATTGAAACAATCTTGAGATGAATCAAAGAAAGGAGCAAAGTGGGAGCAAAAGGAAGCAAGTGGTGAAAATTCAGCAAATTTAACAAGTTCGATCGATCTCAGTAAATGTTCGATCGATCCAACTTTGATCAATTTTAGCACTTCAAGATGGATCTGAGCTATTTTGTCCTTATCCAAATATCATACGAAGTTTGATCGATCCAACTTTTTTCAGATCGATCGAAGAGATCCATCTTATTCAGTTGTACCGCCATACCTACCACTTTTGTCTCTTTCCCAAAAATATCTCCAAAATATCTCAGATTTGTCTTTATCCAAAAAAACACTGCTATAGAGGATCGATCCAGCTTAAGTTCGATAGATCTCAGCCATGTTCGATCGATCTCAGAAAATGTTCGATCGATCGAACTTCCCCAAGTTCGAGAAAATTCAATTTTCAGCTCATTAAAAGTTATCTCATATCCAATCATTGGGGAGGAATATTGGTGTACGAGCCCAGGTCATTGGGGGTGACATTTGACCTACCTATATAAGGAATATGAGCCACTTCTACAAGGAGACTTTTGACACAATTTCCATATTCTGAGTCAGGAAGAAAAGAAGAGAAGAGGCTAGAGACACAAGCTTGGAGTTCTTCCATCAACCAAGAAGAGGAGCAATTTCTACCATGGAGTTAGCCCTTAAGGGTTGGGAGACACCATCCATGAGTGGCTAGACATCCTCTTGGGGCTAGAGTTAGCACTAAGCATGCATTCTACATCTTGATTTATGTATTTTTTAGGGAATTTGTATTGTGATTTATATTTTTACATGTTTATATATATAGATCTTGTTTATTCAATGATTTATGTGGTTTAATACTTCCAAGTGACCATTTCATTCTATCCATATGTCTATGTATGTTAGAATAGATGTTCATGTGCTTATCTCTATTTCTTGTGTTGTTGATGCATGTCTATGTGTATTAATGCTATAGATCTAGAGATTGTTAAGACATAGTGCTTAATAGAATGTTCTTATGATTTATTTGATGGTTCATACTCATTTCTTGGTGAATTGTGCCTCTCCCTTAGTTTATTAGTTTAATTTCATGTCATTAGCTTAATTGTAGTGTAGTTGTAGCTTAGATGTTAAATGGGAGGACAATCCATGCTTTTTGTTTGATGTTCCACACTTATGAATACAAGTAGCATATTCCTCTAATTTTGTGATGTGTTTGGATTGTGAGCTTAAAGAATGATTAATGGCTTAGTTTGATATATTGTACTATTCATTGTGTTATCTAGACAATATATACTTAATTGGTTATCCATGCTTGTTGAAACAACCACACACACACACTATTATTGCAATACATATTTTCCCCCTCTTTAATCATTCATTAAGGGTGTAGAAAAGTTATGCTTAGTGGTGATCTCTAAACCCCAAGATCTCTCTCTTATCTTCTCTCTATTACATTTAATTGTTTACTTTATTTTAAATTGCATCTTAGTATAATTCAATCACCAACCAACCTTTCGATCACTCGACCTACTAACCCTAATCTCGATTCCACAACCTAATACGACCCACCAATCCCTTGGGACGATCCCTACTCGCCCAAACTATATTTTTAGTGAAAGGTAATAGTAGCAAATTATAAATGTAAAACTTGGCCACACTCATCTTAGTCCACTACTTTGCAAGCTTTGGTCCCATGACACACCAGAATGCGATATATTATGTTAGACAGTTAGTTTTGCATAACTCCCATCTTCAAATAATTATGTGCATTGGTTATTAATTTGGAATTGTAAAATCATTAAAATGCAGGAACAAATTGGGAAGTTATATTAATTTCACACGCGCGAGCATAAAAGAAAACCTGTTATGTATATAGATAATTTCCAATTTTTAAAAAATATAACCAAAAATAAAGGAGCAGAGTTGGGTTAAGTTAGCAAGATAGTTAGTATATGTATAATTATTAACTTTAAATAATTATATGAATTGCTCATCACAATTGGTCATCAATTTAGACTTGTAAAGTCATGAAAAAGTAGGAACAAATTGGGAAGTTATATGAAATTTTTTGTTTTCCGTAAATAGAAGATATATGAATTTGAGAGTGGATATATAAAAAGTAACTTGTGATGTATATGTATTTAAATCAAACATACCAGCTTAACAATGATCCTCTCCATCTAAAGAAATTATTTGCCACAAGCTATCTCCCATAAAATAATGAACGTTTACTTTGTATAGGAGGATGCAGGATGCTATTGTGCTAGCTTTTCTTCTGATGTGCTTCCTCTAATAAATGGTTATTTATGTTATCTGCATTTCGGATGTCACAACTATGCACCGTGATTACTAAGTTGGGAACGTCCAATATGAGATAACCTAGGTGAAGAAATTAGAGGAGCCTCTTCATCTACATTCAAATCAGATGCACTACTATTCCCTCTAGTACTTCCTCCATTTTTATCACTACTATCAGGATTGTAAATATCAGATGACTTCTTCTCTAATTTCCAATCCTGTATTGAAAATAAATAAGTAAATAAGATGAAGACCACACAACCTAAAGCTATCATTTAATTATTGCAAAATCTGACCTTTGCAATTCTTTTTGGAATACTTTCAGGAGGAAGTTGAGGTGCCCGAACATCCTTAACCTTCAAGTAGTTGTATAAGACAACACCACATAATGTTGCAGAAAGTATTCAAGTTAAATTCATATATATATCTACATACATACATATATATCTACATACATATATATATATATATATATGTATATATATATTCTGCCTTGGAAAGAAACACACCCACTTGCCCCTATGGGGACTTGAATCCTCAATCTTCTACTTTGGAAGACAAGGAAGTTAAATTCACTTTTAAGAAGTATTGTGATTAACAACTACAGCAGCACTTCATGCAAATAGAAAACTACCTATTGCATAGCCAATGATATTCAGCCTGGTAATTGTAGATTCCGGAAATATAACAGTCGAAAGGGCTATTAGTATCCAATCTTTCAGAACACCAGCAACTAGAATGGTAACTGCTCCAGTTCTACCAAGGCGCAAAGAGCATTAGAAGTAGAAATATATTGACTAAATCAAGGAAGGTCTTTCAGCAAGAATTTTCTATTGAAGCAAGACAAGAAAAGAAGCAGAAATATATTGGGTTTTGACCTAGTTTGAATTATGAAAAGAAGAAAATCAAGGAGAAGAAGAGATTTTCTAGCAAAGAGTTAAGAAAATAAGTTGAGAAATAATTCTATAAATGGGAAAGTTGTAATCCTATTCCAATTCATCCAGCACCACCCACAAAATAGCATGAATCCAAAATTCATCAAATGACTCAACGTCATCTTATCTTCAAATCTTTTGTCCAAATGACAAATTTCATTCGAAGAAACTAAGTTACAGTAACATACTCTTTTTTTGCAATGCTTAATTATGCTATTTACAAATTTAATCATTGTTTTATGCAACGGATTCAGTGACAAATCTTTGATCAGATTGTAGTCATTTCAATTCGACCATTCCATTCCATTGCAAACATTACTTTTCAGTCTATTTTAATTCGGCCAATTTCCTTTATTGTCATTTTAATTCGGCCAATTTCCTTTATTGTCATTTTAATTCAGCCAGTACATTTACTTTACATTGTATTTTTATTCTTTTAAACACCTTTATAAAAAGTCCTTTCAAACAAGGCAGAAAAAGAACATTGGGAGTTCTTACTATTTTCTCTCCCACACATTCGCCTGAAGTCACCCAACGGAAAAGGGATAGGTTGGTGTTCATTCATAATTTTTGAGTCTTTTATACAAATACTCTAGCACGCCCCCAAAAGTCCATCGATTGGCGTAAGACCAAAAACTGCACGAACAGATCCTCAGATCGGTATCCACCGGTAAAATTACAACCGCATTGGTAGTTACTTCCTGGACCGCAATAAGCATTTGCTCCGCATAATAATGTATTATTTGCAGGTGTGTATTCGCTGCACCCTTCGGGCATACATGCCCCATTCCAGCACAGCACGAATAACAGGTTTCATTTTTTGCATGTCATTGATCAATGATGTATTGGATACATTGATCGAGGTTGATGAAGAAGTGATGAACGCATAATTGCACTCTTTCGGATTATCATTAGTCTTGGAATCATTAATAAATCTGGTGAGAGATGTATAGATGAAGTTGAGTGATGGAGGGATTGAGGTCTGGCATCAATTGATTCCATAGCAACTTCCTTCATCAGTTGAGCTGTTGGCGTTGCATGTTGCATGTCATTGAGTTGGAGGATCGGAGCAACTCAAGCCCAATTTCATATGAAATATTCAACCCTAACTTAACGTAATTCTATCTCAACCTCCAATTCTAATTAACTGTTCAATACAAGTCCATCTGATCTTTGAATTTTTAATCTCAGATTTACAACTTTGGTTGAGATTTCAATTTTGAAAGTCAAGTTAATTTAAGTTTTTGTGAGATTCTCAGACTAATTATATTATATATTGGTGTTTTTATTTTTTATTTTTTTTGGAGAATATATAAATTTTCAAATCTATATATAAAAAAAGAAACAAACGGGAAAAAGAAAAAATAAATGTCACATAAACAAGAGTACTTTCTCTAATTAGTGTCACTCCTACTAATTAAACAATGTATTCATCAAGGTTAACTAAACAACAAATATGAAGAATTACAGGAAAAAGATGCAGATATATATATTTAAATATATTTATTATATATCTGCTAATTTTGTTTTGATTGCTTGACACATATTTTTGTATATATAAGAGAGAGGTGAAAAGGAAAAAATAAAAAAATAAAAAGAAATAAAAAATGAGAAGCACATGGATTGGTATCAGCAAGGAAAAAAAACACAAAACCTTAGCCATGTTTTTTTGGTTTTTTTTTTTTTGGGTTCAATCCTTCTCTTTAAAATTTAAAGTTTAGAAAGTAAAATTTAGTTTGTGGTGGAAGAATTAAAGTTATATCCTATGCATTCTTAATTATTTTGTATCGGAACTAATTTAATTTTTTTTTTTCTTCCACTAATCTTAATTTAAGATCCATTCATATGACAAATTTTGGAATGATCCGGAAACAAAATACTAATAGAATGCTCAATATTGTCATCGTCGCATTTTGAAAAATTATAATGTTTGCAATTATTTTTGATATGGTCCAGGGGCGGAGTGATTGATAGAGCCCCTTGACTACGCATTGGCCACTGAATTTCCAAGTCTCAAGTCCACAAAGATTACAGTAGCCCACATCCACATATGTCTTTAAATATCTTTAAATTTAATAATCATTAAACAAAATAAGTGACAAAAATATTTTCTATTCTATTGTTTCTTTATATTATTTTATTATAATTATTACATTTCCAATGCATTATGAGTCTCTATAAATGACTCTAAAGTAGAATCTCAACCTTTTGTCATTTAATAATTGTAAACGTCTAAATTTTATTTTATTTTTGTTATTAATGCACGTAAATTCTATTTTATTTTTGGTGTTACTGCACTTATGACAAAGCTTGACAAAGCCTGCTAGAGCATGTGTGCAACTTTGATCACGGCTCACACACACCAACTTAACAATGATCCTCTTTATCCCTTCAAGAAAAAGATAAAAATAAAAAAAATAAAAGATCCTCTTTATTGGAGGAAATTATTTGCCACACTTGCTCACGTAGAGCTGCAAAAACTTTCAATTAAGAAGAGTCCCTTGCTGAATCAAAAAAATATCGCCATCTACAACTTGCCATACAAGTTCTATTGGAAGCCAATAATAAATAAATAAAATCTAAAATTCTCTTGAAAGAGAATAAAATTACGGAAATGAGGAGCCCTTATGATTTGCATGTTCATTCAATAATATAAACGTCTTTCTTAAGGAATTCTCTGTTTTCCATATTCATGAATTATTTTTCTACTTTTGTCCTCACAAAAATATATATTATTACAATGACCGACAATATAACTATAACAACACAAATGCTTTAAAAAATAAAATAAATTTAATACAAGCCAATCACGCTCCTACAAAATACTTTAAATATATTAACCTTTAAAAAAAGTTAGTATTTAATCAAAGTGACATCCATTGAATAAAAGAAATAAAGAATTTGACCAACAAATTAGGTTTGGCTATCATGAGAATATAATTTTTGGTCGATTTTTAAAATTGCTCATAATCTTTCATCAATTTTTTAACTAACAGTTTTTGTTTTCTCATATTCACCATCGTCATCACTTTGATTAAACATTCACTTTTCTCTTTTTCTGATTTTTTTTTTTTTGTCAATGTCACAAAATGACACATTTAGTTAAACTAGAAGAAAACTAAAGCAAAGAGGGGGCCTCGTAGATATTCCAAGTCGCTGGGGTTGACTGATAGCGCCCATTAACTAAGCTTGGGCCACTGAATTTCCAGGTCTCTGTGAGCCAAACATCTTCATGCTTATCCTCCACGATCCCCGTCAACATCCACATGCATCTTTAAACTTTTTTACAAAATTAGGTATCTTTAAACTTTACTGATACACCACATAAAATCATTAGGACAAATAATCGTTAATTGTAACAAAACCAAGACTACAATTTTTCTAATCTATTATTTATTTTTATTATTATAATATTATAATTATTACATTTCAAATGCATTGTGATGACTCGTGTGATTAATATTGAATCTCAACTTCTTCTTCTTCTTCTTCTTCTTCTTCTTCTTCTTCTTTTGTCATTTAATATTTGTAAATGTCTAAATTCTATTTTATTTTTGGTATTATGGCACAAAAGTTCTGTTTAATTTTTGGTGTCACTAAAAAAAATGACAAAGCACTAGTGCAACTCAAACATACCAGCTTAACAATGATCCTCTCCATCTAAAGAAATTATTTGCCACACTTGCTCATCATGTAGGGGCTCAGCAGAGCTGCAAAAACTTTCTACTAAGAATAGCACCCTTGTTGAATCAAAAATATATCCCCATCTCTAACTTGCCATACAAGTTCTATTAGATTTGAATAGCTCTATTTTTTTTTTTTTGGTTAAAATGAGTAGCTAGATCTATTTTACTTATCAATGGAAGCCATTAAAAAATCAAAATCAAAATTCCCTTGAAAGAGAATAAAATTACCGCCCTTAATAGAGTATGATTTGCATGTTCACCAAGAATTAAAAGTCGTGAATAGCAAAGCATGCATGAATAGGAGGATTCAGGATCCCTTTGTGCCAGCTTTTCTTCTGATGTGATTCCGCTAAAATCATTAGTTTGTTTCTTTTATAAATCCATAAAGCATCCAGATTCCAATGAAGACATTAACCGAATGAATGAAAAACTCAGATCAAGCATGCACACATCAACCCTTGTTTTATTATGAATGACTTAATACATATCATTTAAAAGGACAAAACTGGATATAATCTCATCATACTAACTTGTATGTGTCTTTGCAAATATATTACACACTATATGCACACATATATCTATATAACTAACATATAATGTATTTATCTCTTACAAACTAGCTTGTATCTTTATATTACAGACAATACACGCACACATGTATCGATTTCACTTGTCATGAAACTCTAAAAATCTTCTTAAAAGCTTAATAGCAATTGATGAAAATTTATTTCAAGGGCGTGTAATCTCAAGCACAAACAAACACACATACATATATTTATTTAATTATTCTTGTTTCTTTTTTCTTTTCTTTTTTTCATAGTTGGTACTCACACACACATGCATCCATGAAGGCTTGAACCTTTGACCTCCCTTTGGGAAATAAAGGCCCGTTGGTTAATTATTCTTATTTCAACAACGTATGGATTAGTAATAAAAGTAAGCTCTATTGACATAGATGGCTTCATGGAATGAATGATGTTAGCCTTCCGCATGCAAGTTAGGCCACAAAACCAACCAAAGTATTATATAAAATTCAAAATTTGCTATAAACAAACATATCACGATTTCTTAAACAACATAAGTAGGAAATACAAGGATGATGATTGGTGCACTATTTATTCAAACAAGATAGATGTAAAATATGAAGTGGGGGCAAAAAAAAAAAAAAAAAAAAAACCAAACTAGCAAACAAACATTCTTAACAATTACGATTACTTAAGTAACAAAGGATGAACATCCCGTGATGATGATGCACTCCTATGAAAATGAGACCCTGTCGAAGTTGTAGCAACATCCTGAGGTCCTGTGAGTTCAATTACTGAAGCAACATCCCGTGATGATGATGCACTCCTATGCAAATGAGACCCTGTCAAAGTTGAAGCAACATCCCAAGGTCCTGTGAGTTCAAGTACTGCATATTCATCCTCTTCATAATTTTGTTGAACGGTACATACTTCATGTGATATTCTAATCCCTTCCAATTCAGTTGCAACTTCTTTCATTGTAGGCCTTTTTCTCCCACTCAAGTTCAAGCATCTTTTTGCAAGATTAGCGACCCGAATGATGTTTTCTTTTCCAACCTCTTTGGAAACTCGAGCATCAAGAATGTCAAATAAACAGTTCTCCTTCATTATCAACATGAAATATGTTGCCAAACTTCGTTCTTCTGATCTGGTTGATGAGATTGGTTGTTGTCCAGTTAACAACTCAACAAGAACAACTCCAAAGCTATAAACATCACTTTTTTCTGTAAACTGGCTTGACTGGAAGTACTCCGGGTCCAAGTATCCAAAGGTCCCCTGCACTATTATGGTCATGTGAGTTTGATCAATGGCAATTGATCTTGAAGCCCCAAAATCCGACACTTTTGCTCTGAATTTATCGTCTAACAAAATGTTTGTGGATTTGATATCCCGATGATAAATGGGTATGGAGGTTGCTGAATGCAGATATGCAAGAGCCCCTGAAACTTCTGCAGCAATCCGAACACGAATATCCCAGGTAAGTGGAAACTCTTCATTTTGCTCATGGATATACTGGTAAAGGGTTCCGTTGGGGATGTACTCATAAACCAGCAAGGGAACTTCTGACTCCAAACAACACCCATACAAGTTAACCACATTCCTATGGTTAATTTGTGATAAAATAACAACCTCATTAATAAATTGCTCAAGGTTGCCTTCATCCACTATCTTGGACTTTTTAACTGCTACAATTCTACCATCAATTAGCATGCCTTTGTAAACAGTACCTTGCCCCCCTTGACCAAGGATCCGGTTGTCATTAAAGTGGTCAGTGGCCTTTTCCAACTCCTTTAAAATAAACACTTTGGTTTTCTCAACATAACCTTGATCAGCAGAAGACAATTGTTGTTGCAATAAAAGACCTCCATTTCGTTTAAAGAATTTTCGTTTGAGCCGGAGTTTCTTTCTCCTCTTCACCAATTTATACAGCCACCGTGTACCAACAAATAGAAGTAGGGATCCAAAACCCGTACTAATAACTGCAAAATTTAGGAAATTAAGAGTTTTGAAAGGGACACTTATTTTAGAACATCTCAAAATTGAAAGAGAAATACTCCATTGGGCTCGAGTTGGGATGAAGTAGTGTTCTTTCTCATTGTTATTTTTCTTTCTTCTTAAATACTTTTCAGGATCACATTTCTATTGAAAGACTAGATCCAATATTTACTGAAAAAATGGTGTTTTAGAATTAATGTCGTAGTTTTGGTCTTAACTTGGTACAACAAATTGTCTTGACTCTGTTAGGGTGCCTGTGCATTTATGTGAAAGAAGGGGCATACCTATGATAGTAATTCGAATTTTCTTCTTGTCCGCTGGAGGTCCTGCACATTCATCAATATTTAATAATTAACCAAAATCAAACAAAAATGGTTACCCAACTAATTTGTATGCCGCGTGCTTAGCTTGACAGAAATTTATCACAAAGTACAAGACGTGTTTCAGTATTAGGCAGATGGTTAAGATATTATGTTTTTGGTAATAGGCAGATGGTTAAGATATTATGTTTTCAGTACTATTATTGCATGCAGATTGATATTTTTTGTATGTGAGCTAGGACCAAATTTATATTTGCAGAATGAGTAGTTAATTAAAATATGTATATGCATACCTGGACATCCACCGGATAGATATGGGTTTGGATCCCGATCTGAGTATCCTCCGGTAAAATTACAACTGCATCGGTGAGTAAAGTTACTTCCTGGACGGCAAAAAGCATTTGGTCCGCATAATAATGTATTATTAGCAGGCGAATATTCGTTGCACTCTCCGGGCATGCCCCATTCCAGCATAGCATCAAAAACAGGTTTCATTTCTTGCATGTCATTGATCAATGATGTATTGGATGCATTGATCGAGGTTGGAGAAGAAGTGATGAACGCATAATTGCACTCTTTCGAATTATCATTAATAAATCTGGTGAGAGATGTATTGATGAAGTTGAGAAATGGAGGAATTGAGGTCTGGCAGCATTTGATTCCATAGCAACTTCCTTCATCAGTTGAAATGTTGGGGTTGCATGTTGATGTGCACCCACCTATAATTTGTTGGTCTTGCCTCATCATCAAGGCCAGGTTGTTACAACCTGTGGCCCTGAAATAATTGTCGTAGTAAGAGAACCAAAAATGACTCGACAAATTCACAAGTGGATGACTCGAACCATTTGGACAATTATAAGCTAGCACCGGATGAAGGATGCCAATGGTGCCAGAGCTATTGCTATACATATAGCCAAACATATCAATATAAAGCACCGGAAGCTTGTTGCTAGTGAAGTAAGCCTTGGAAGAGTTGTCGCAAGCTATTGCAAAGCTCTTGTCCGCGTAACAACCAACTCCAATCCCAAAAGGGTAAGGAATGGTAATGTTTCCGCATGTGTCCGGACAACCAGGCTTGGCTATTGGTAGAGATGCTGACGATGCTCCTCCTGTTAGCCCCGCTAATACCAACACCATCAACTCAATCACCATTTTTTACTTCCCTCTCTACTTGTTGTGAGATTCTCAGACTACTTATTGGAGAATATATAGACTTCAAATCTATTTTTAAAAGGAAAAACAAAAAAAGAAAAAAGAAAAGTCGCAAAGAGGAGTACTTTGGTTTATTAGTCACCAATTTGTGGCATGTTCCGGAATCCGGCTCAAAAAGGGCAAAAAAAATTTATCCTAATTTTCCACTTTATTGAGTAATTTGACTTGACCTATTGGACCATATTTCTTGGTAGGTGAAATTATTATCATAATTATCCACTTTAAAAAAAATGAGTCTTGATTTATTGAGTAATTTAATTTGACTTATTGATCCATATTTCTTGGTAGGTTGAATTGAGGGTAGATTCAAATTATATTTTGACATATATTGTATATATAGTGGACATAGAGAGATGAAGAGAGAGATGTATTTTTGTCCATGAAAATGAAACCTTTTTTATTTGTAATTTTTTTTTTATAATTTTATGGCAATATAAGGGTAGTAACGGGTTTATGAATATTTTGATCATTGCAACTAAATTTTCTAATTGGCCAAATTTTGGACTGAAGGGAGTATGCCTCATAATGGAGCTAGCAACCGAGGATACGGTGGAACAAAATACATAAATTTAATGTCGTGTAGTTAGATTAAATCGCAGCCGAGGTCGATATAATTTACCATACTTCACAATTTTTATAACTACTTTGAAAGCTCCCAAGATTTTATTTAGTTAAATTATTATTTTTTGTTAAATCTTTGTTATATCGGTTCACCGGTTTGCACCTTTTTCCGCGCGTCTATGTCCATGGTCAATTTTCACGGTCTTGTGTTGTGTTGGGGTCTAAATCTGGATTAATCGATATTCTATTCCTCATTATACATATATTAATGGATGATGTGTGTGTGTGTGAGAGAGAAAAGTCCTTGACAATTGTTTTACTTTATTGGATGGTGTGTGTGTGTGTGTGTGTGTGAGAGAGAGAGAGAGAGAGAGGGGGGCACAGGCACAATTGAGGTTTATTTTTAGGACTGCATGGGTCGAATCTTTACTTTTTAATACAAGTCCATCTCATCCTTGAATTTTTAATCTCAGATTTACTACTTTGGTTTATTAGTCACTCCATACTAATCAAACACCGTATTCATCAAACAAGTTACGCTAAATAACAAATGTGAAAGGAAAGTCCACATACCATAGTTGACAATTGTTTTACTTTATTGGATGATGTGTGTGTGTGTGTGTGAGAGAGAGAGAGAGGGCATAGGCACAATTAAGGTTTATTTTTACACCTGCATGGGTTGAACGAGTTAGGGTTACAAATTATAACTCAAGCCCAATTTCCTATGAAATATTGAACCCTAACGTAATTCTAATTCGATCTCTAACTCTAAATATTTAATACAAGTCCATTTTATACACCTGCATGGGTTGAACGAGTTAGGGTTACAAATTATAACTCAAGCCCAATTTCATATGAAATATTGAACCCTAACGTAATTCTAATTCGATCTCTAACTCTAAATATTTAATACAAGTCCATTTTATACACCTGCATGGGTTGAACAAGTTAGGGTTACAAATTATAACTCAAGCCCAATTTCATATGAAATATTGAACCCTAACGTAATTCTAATTCGATCTCTAACTCTAAATATTTAATACAAGTCCATTTTATATTTGAATTTTTAATCTCAAATTTAAAACTCTGGTTGAGATTTCAGTTTAGAAAGTCAAGTCAATTTAAATTTTTGTGAGATTCTCATACTACTTTTTATATTATATATTGGCATTTTTATTTTTATATTTAAAAAAAAAAAAATTAAAAGTCACATAGAGAAGAATGCTTTAGTTCATTACTTTTAGTATCACTCCTACTAATCAAACACCGTATTATTCATCAAGGTAGATTAAAGAATGAATATGAAAAGAATAAAAGGAAAGTTCAATGATTTTATTTTATTGGATTGTCAGTGTGGGTGTGACAGATAGAGACACAAAAATTTTGTCAAATTAAAAATTCAAATCGGAACAAATCAAACGGGACAATTTGTTTTTGATTTGTTAACCATTTGGTTCCATCATGGTTCCCCCACTAACTCAGATCGTGGTATTCAATTAGTCCGTCCCATTCACTATCTTTAATTTGTATCCCTCCACATTGGAAACGATGTCATTGGAACGAACTACAACTAAATTGAGTGGAACTGCGATACTAACTCTCTAGAAAATAAAAACAAAACAAAATAAATATCTAATATAAAAGGCAGCATTGGTGATATTGGGTGATTGAGTTATAGTGTTGTATATATATATATATATATATTGGTTGATTAGGAATTGTAGGAGTTTTAAAAGTTGAAAAAGCTAATTAGACACAATGATTTTAGGCAAGATGGGGGAGTTGGGTTATCAGCACTAATTGGCATTTGATAGTGCAGTCTCCATAAATGGATTAGGACTAGGACTAAGATTAGGATTGGGGGAGGGGAGGGTACTTTCGTTTATTAGCGTCACTCCCACTACGAAATGAAAGGAAAGTTCAGCATATCATATTTAACAATCGTTTTACTTTATTGGATAATTTGAATATTATATATAATATATTTATTATATATAATATTCAAATTAAATAAAATTTGAATAAAATAAAATAAAATTTCTAATGAATTACAAATAAATTACTCATAAGCAAAATTTAAATAAAATAAAATAAAAAAACCATTTGTGTAAATTTCTAATGAATTACAAATAAATTCTTAAAAAATTAAAGTGATCATAATTTGAATATAATATATAATATATTTAAAATAAAAAATATGTACAAATATAATATTAAAGTTTGGATTCATGTTAGGCTTCAAATATAATTGAGTTTGAGTTGAGACAATTGTAAAAGTAGTTGGTCAAGACCTTAAAAATCGGATTAGACTACCAAATTGCATCTTAATTATTTCGTATCACAACTAATTTAAAATTTTTTTTTTCTTCAACTAATCTTAATTAAAGATTCCATCCATAAGACAAATTTTGGAGTGATCCGGAAACAAAATAATAGAAAGCTCAATATTGTCCTCGTCCACATTTGGAACAAGTATCATGTTTGCAATTAGTCCAGGGGGCGGGGCCCTGTAGACCATTATAAGTCACCATGGTTGATTGATTGATAGCGCCCCTTGACTAAGCTTTGGCCACTGAATTTCCAGGTCTCAAGTCCATGTGAGCCAAATATCCTCATGCATATCCTCATGATTGCACCGCATCCACGTATATCTTTAAAATTTATAATCATTAGCAAAAGGTTTATGTTAATATAATTCATGTTTAACTTTAATTTATATTATTTTTTAACTGAATTAATATGTGCTTGAAGTCATGGTTCATTCCTTAGGCATGTTTCATATATTTTCAATAAATTAATGTAATTAACGGGTAGTACGACGTTAGTGGTAAAATCATGTCCCTAATTCCTTTTCTCTTATTTTCTACATGCATCTCGTTTAATTATTCTTTTTATTTTTCTACTTAGTTCACCTAGAATAAATCATTAAAATTTGGTTATCCTACTTTTAAGTTAATTTAAAATTTAAAAAATTTGTTGACAATTTTATTAACACGAGTCTCTTGAGTATGACATCCTTATAAGTAAGTCATATCTGCAAAGATTCGTACGCTTATAAGTAGTTACATATAAAATTCTTACAACACATACTAGACTTGTGAACCCACTAACTATTAAAAGAAGTAGACGCATGACATAGAGTCCAATGACTATCAATATAAATGGTCATTTGGTGACCTTGTGGTCCACACATCTACGAACAAATTTGTGGTGTTTTACTAAACTTTTTTCATATTCATGGATTATTTTTCTACTTTTGTCCTCACAAAATTTTATACTATTACAATGACCCACAATATAACTATAACAATACAAATGCTTTAAAAAATAAAATATATTTAATATAAGCCCATCATACTCCTTAAAAATACTTTAAATATATTAATCTTTAAGAAAAATTAGTGTTTAATCAAAATAATATCTACCAAGGGTTTTGTGGTCCAATAATATCTCTTCTACTTTTCAAAGTGGATAATGAGGGTTCGAGTTTTCAAAGGAACAAAGTGGTGTGTGAATATGGTGTGTGTGAGTTTCTTACCAAAAAAAAAAAAAATCAAAGTGACATCCATTAAATACAAGAAATGAAGGATTAATTAACCAACAAATTAGGTTTGACTATCATTTGATTGTAATTTTTAATCATTCCTGAAAATTAGTCAACCGACTCCAATCCCAAAAGGGTAAGGAATGATAATGTTTCCGCATTTGTCTTGAAAATCATGCTTTGCTATTGGTAGAGATGCCGATGATGATGCTCCTCCTCCTCCTCCTCCTCCTCCTCCTGTTAGTCCCACTAATACTAACACCATCAATTCAATCATCATTTTTTAATTCCCTCTCTCCTTTTTACGAGATTCTTAGACTACTTATTATATTATATATTGGTTTTTTTTTTTTTAAAGGAAAAACCAAAAAAGAAAAGACGCAAATAGGAGTACTTTGGTTCATTAGTCACCCCATACTAATCAAACAACGTATTCATTAAGTTATACTAATCAAACAACGTATTCATCAAGTTATACTAATCAAACAAATGTGAAAGGAATGTCCAGCATACCATAGTTGACAATTGTTTTACTTTATTGGATAGTATGTGTGTGTGAGAGAGAGAGAGAGAGGGCACAGGCACAATTAAGGTTTATTTTTAGAGTTGAACGAGTTAGAAATACAATTCAATCCCAATTTCATATGAAATATTCAATTCTAACGTAATTCTAACTCAACCTCTATCCCTAAATATTTAATACAAGTCCATTTCAATTTTGAATTTTTGGAGAAAAAAGAAAAGTCGCAAAGAGGAGTACATTGGTTTATTAGTCACTTCATACTAATCAAGCAAGTATTCATCAAGTTACACTAAATAACAAATGTAAAAAGAAAGTCCAGCATACCATAGTTGACAATTGTTTTACTTTATTGGATGATATGTGTGTGTGTGTGAGAGAGAGAGAGAGAGGGCACAGGCACAATTAAGGTTTATTTTTAGAGTTGCAAGGGTTGAACTAGTTAGAGATACAAATCAATCCCAAT